AGATCGGATAGTGTTATTGGTGATTCCGTCACAACGGTCAATCCCTTGATTTTGCGCGTGAACGGTGGCAATAAACAGAGAGATTACTAAGATAAGACTTGCTGTAAGTGAGGTAGTTCTCATCGTTGAAACTGGGAAAGAAAAAAAAAATAACAACAAAATTAGAGAAATAAAATACATAATATCATGGGTGACAAATTGCTCCATAATTTTGGCGCGAAATTTCATCGTTAATTTATAATTTCGCACGTGAAATTCCAAAATTCCTTAGCAACGTTTGGCACTAATTTTTTCCATGCAATAGTCAAGTGAAAAGTCCATGATTGTGAGCGCAATTTGTCGGCCATTCTATTAAAAGGTAATCAAATGGTATAATCGTGAAGGAAATAATTCCACTTACAGGTATATTGCGCCCAGGCTTTACATTGTCCAATAACGTAGAAGTCATGGGTTCGAATTCCTTCGACAACTTTTTCCGGTTTTCTAAAACCTATCGAAGATTGCAGCCGAACGATACCCGAAGTGGCTCCGTTAAATGGAGAAATAGCCGTCTCGAAAATAGAGATGAGATATTTCTGAATCAATACCCCGCTAGTGAACTTTTAAATGTGCTTAAATAAAGCTTGTCTATATTTCTGTCTGAAATCGATAGGCAAATGATATTGTTGAAGAAATAAATTTCCCCTACAATCATCATCTATTTCCATATATTTTCCTTTCAGTTTCTAATCATATTTAGTGGTTATTTTGTTCTAATTATCTTACTACAGCCCAACTTCTGAAACTTTCTTTCATTTTCGGTTTTAAAAGAAGCCGGTAAAAACATAAAATTTGAATGACATGCAAATATGAAGTGTGTGAAAGTGGCATTGACGGATTGCATAGTTTGCGACTGTTAATGATATTTGTTCTACTGCAGCGGGTTAGAGTACAAATATATAACACAGTATCTAATATCAAAACATACAATATGCGGGATTTACGATACAATCTGCATGTATTACACACAGCGTTCCCTCAGACAAACTTCAGCGAATAAACTATATATATTTATAAAAGACCGACCTCGTCACGGCATGGCAGTAGTTCTTTTGTATTTTAAGCGAATTTATGCAAATACACCGAACAATATTTCCATAAAGTTGTTTACAGACAGACACCGGACACAAATAGACTCCAAATACATATGTCGTTGTATTCAGCGACACTTCTTAGCAAGTCAGTACAGAAAAACAATTAAGTGAAGTTTCAGGGCGCTAGTGAGGATTGATAAGTAAATTATCGCCGAACTGACCCTTTAAAACCCTGTAAGACAATACCCTTTACTTCTTAGGTTTTGGTCTGTTTTTTTTTTGTAAATTTGTTTTTTAGAGAAATAAATGTTAACACTTAATTATTCAACCGAGTAGCTCCCTACCGTTATCAAATAAAATGGAAGTAGGAAGTTACAATCTCCCTGAATGTGCAAATCAGGAAACATGACGCATCTTTCAGTTTTTCAGTTCTCGAAACTGAAAGTGCTGCAGTTTTAAAATATTTCTTTCTTAGAAACATTTCATTTCCGGTTCAGTGAACGCCAAGAATTTCTATTAGCGAAAATTCTTAAATAAACTGGGACATGACACGGCAGATTTTACCAACGTCTCGATTATTGAATAAACTGCAACAACTCAGTGACATATTTATGGGTACAGTTGCCAAATTTCAACCCGCGTCTTTGAAATATTTTAATAGCGAGATGAAAGATGGAAAGCGTTATCCAGAGATTTCTCGTCATTCATGATCATGATCAATAGAATATGCATTAGGTTTCGTTTGCAGAAGAGATCACTACAAGGCAACCAGTAGGTATTTAATTAAAGTCACCTAAGAAAAGGAGTTTATGTCACGGCAGTTGAAGATCCGGCTAGAAAGAGCCGGCGAATTCAAACGCCGAGGGGCCGTTGAAAACCTCAGTTAAAACCACGAGATCACAAGGACTTTTTAACAAACTAAGCTACGCCTTAAATAGCTCCCTAAAGAAACGGTACATGCATAAATGGACAGCATATATAAAGGCGAAGACCCGGCAACTAAGATCAGTTGAGAGTTCAGCTGAACGAGGGGAAGTACTTTAGATCGTCGTGCATCGATCGAGCCGCTCTCTTAGCCTTCACAGCTCAATCAGCTTCCTCAAATGCGAGAGAAATTCTTATCTAGCGTGCTAAAAAAAATATTAAACGCACCTGCGATAAAGGAGGATTCTGGCGTTGATCACGAAGACACAATGCTCTTCACACTCAGTTCACGTGTACTGTGGTAATTATCGCTTTCGTCTGGACTTTTGGCGCAGATTGCAGTCACGTGACTTCTAAGTGAGTCACGACATTATTCAAAGTACTTCTGTTCAGTGTCGCGTGTCGCGAATACACGAGCCGCTCTTTGACAAATTTTCC